ATTGGGTCACCAACCTAATGTTTCCTCCGCAGTTTGTGTCTGTGGTCCTTTAAGATAATCAAAAATCACAGTTTACGTGGTGGACTCTTGATCAGAGTATTGTCTTATTCATATTAAAATCAGAGTATTGGTGTCCATGTAAATGTACTCACTGAAAGTGTCAGATAATGTCACAAGCTGTCAAAGCCAGTCCATTCCTCACCTTTAAGTTGATTCCATGAACCCTAAAGATTCATAAGTTTGACGTGTTTCTCCATTTAAACACTTTTGTTAAGCATCTGCTGCATGTTGCTGTGTCAGAATCCTTGCTTGTAAAATACAGCCATGCTGTAGAATGCTTAGTTTAAGCAAATTAGATGAACACGATCATGCATGTTGATGAAATGTCACTTACCGCATGCGCTGCATTGCGCGATTTGCCTTCTATAAGCTACACGAACAACCACCTGACATCACTGACATCCGCATAACTCAAAGCTGTTTAGAATTAAATAGAGATGGTGTGACAACGCGTACTTATGTGTGCCTTTGATGAACCCCTTGATGCTTCTTAGGGGGGTCACACACCGGATGCCCCTGGTTTGTCCATTAACACACATTTATCATCACATGATCACTTATAACAAAATCACATGACCTTTTTTAATGTGTATACTGGAATTTGTTCAGTAAAAGTGTTTCCATTGTGGTTAATGTGCATCTTTTCTTACCGAATTAAAAGTTTATCCTACTCGGTTATGCGCACATGTTTTTATGTGTATTTTCAATAGTTATGTGCATCTTGGCGTTTCCATCAACCAATATTTTATGCACATATCTAAAATAAGCATTAAAATAGGTGGGTGGAAAGGTAAGGCTAAAGCCTTCTGCGTCAAGTGACCGGCGTAACCCATGGCGCATGCAACGCGCGTAGCTGTGCATTTATACTTCTGTGCGCTGTCTCTGTTGGTCTGCATTAACACTTCCAAAACGCTAGTTGGCAGTGAGGTGTAAATGTTCCTCTGTGTCGAGTTTTTTCGCTGCTGTTGTTTTTTGTGAACGCTTCCTGAATGTACAAGTGGTTCAAACTCGCTCATGCAACCGGCGGACATACAACAACTTTAACTATCAGGTAAACACAAAACAAAACCTTTACAGCCGGAGCTCCTTCGCGGGACTCCACACTTGTAAACAATCGCTACATCGGGCTCGCGTGGCTCTCGGTGCCGCCCAGACTCGTCAGCGATACAAAGCCGACCAATCGCAGAGTTTGCGATACGCGTCGGTGCGACGTGTCGTTACATTTTTTGAGAGGTTCACGTCAGTGACGCCGATGGCCACGGCGTAGGGCTATGCGTCAGCGCGTAGGCTGCGCCGTAGCATACGCGTGCGCTTGACGCAGAAGTATAAATCAGCCTTAAGGCAAGAAATACCGTTTCATCTTTAAAGACGGGAGGAGACAAACAGAAACTCTGAGTTTAGAGTATAAAACCTGCTGCTGACCAGGTTAGGTTCACAGAGTAAGTTACCACAGTAACTGACTGAGTTAAAGTTACCTCTCTTTCAGAAACAGGCTGGATTTACCCTGCTTTCTCCAGTTTAACAAACCTGCCAAACCCAGAGTTTCTCTCATTTCAGGGTTAACATATTCTGAGTTTTCACTTAACCTCCTTTCTGAAACGCGGCCCAGCAGGCTGAGGACATTTTAAAACATCTGAAGTGTCGTTTTGGTCATTCTAAAACGCCTTAACCATTTCAGTATTAGTGTTTTTATATTATTGATTACCTCCAGAATCGAGAGCGTCTGTTCTCTGCATCTCATGCCTTCAAACGCCACCACGCGTTCATCGCACGTCAGCATCGTCTTCTGAGGTGAAAGTCATTTATTAAATAAAGAAAACATTGACGCAGCTTCTCCTACCACAGTAAATTCTGTTTTACTGTTGATTTTTGATGCCAGTTAATCAGGAAGTGACGGTTTTGTTCTCTTTGACTCACTGGATGGAAACGCTGCTTTATTCGCAAGTCTTTTAAATTCGATTTTCTTGTTTAGCGCATAAATTTAATTCACATTCTTGGATGGAGACATATTGCCTACATTTCAGTCACACAAAGAACAAAGTCACGTACGAGAATAGCTTGTCCTTTTTTAATAAATAATTAGCTTAAATTCACTGACCTTCGACAGGGACATGTACTGTACCTAGATTAATGGGATTATTACTCGTTCTAAAAACTATCGTTTAGTTCTGCTTACATTTTAAGGGTGCTTTTACACCCAGACTTTTGTTTCGGAACGTATCTCGTTTGCATAGTTAGCGCGGTTCGTTTGGCATATGTGAACAGGGCAATCGCGCTCTGTTCCGCGCCAAAGTAATCGCTCCGAGATCGTTTGAATGAGGTGGTCTCGGCTCGATTGAAACGAACCCTGGAGCGGTTCGATTGCAGTGAGAAAGCGATCCGATCCGAGCGCGGTTATATCACAGTGTTTTATGGATATGTAATAGGCTTACGGCTATATGAAGAGAGAATTATGATTAGGGTGGGAAGTTTCGCGAGTCTCCGGATGCCCGCAAACGAGTGATGATCTCCCGGTAATCTCGCATCTCTCCCTCCCAGTCCTCAAATAGGCATCGTCGCGCACCCTTCTCACCCCTCCCCACCGCATCTCTCCTCAGACACGTCGCGCGCACGCGCTCCCTGTCAATCACCACCAAACCACCACCTCTCCTGACAGCTGAGCGGGACGCTGCAAAATAAACCCTGACACTCTGACCAATGTGAGGAGAGTTTACTCGCACGTGACTTGTTTTAGCTCTTTTGGTCCGATTAGAAACTTTGCAGTGTGAAAGCGAACCGCTCCAAGAGCAAAGAGCAACAAAGTAACATTTGTAATCTCTGTTTCAGAACAACTGAATCGATTCACAGGTGTGAAAGCACCCTAAATGTCATATCAACCTCTACCACTCAATCAATAAAAAAGGCAGACACACAAGTGCACTTTTAAATCTATTACAAACTTAATTTGACAAATTTTACCTCAAACTGATCAACGTGTAAAAGTGGGAACCTTAAATTAAACATTTCCACTGAACATTGAGTTAAAGTTTCCTGCATTCTTGTTTTGTCTAATTTGCTGTAGAAACTATGCCGTAGCCTATTTTATGTAAACAAACAAATGACACGTTACAGCATTACATTATATGTTTATAGGCACAGGCCTGTGTGTTCTCATTCATTATATTCGTTTACCCGCCGAGCAACTGTTGGCATCGTGCATCGAGTCTCGCCACTAACGGAGGGACCCAGCACAGGGAGCGCACCCATCTATAATATGAACCACAGAAATTCTCTGCTAATAACTCGTTATGAAATGTATTATATAACATCCTCGTTTTGATAGACGTCATCAAACATTCAGCCCAAATGCTCTGGAGAGACCTAAAACATTATTTTTTTCCAGGCTTTATGACACTTAATAGGCGATTCCCCTTTATTTAAGGATGTTGCATATTATTCTGTGATCTTAAGTGTTTAGTGTTTCAGGAGATAAGAGCAAGTTATTAAATATAGTCTATATTTTGTTGCGCTCAGCAGCTTTTCACTAATAAAGCTCGACGTTTAACATTTCATTTTTAAATTTTACCACGTCATATAAAAAATAACAGTTGTTTGAGGACACAGAACACATTTTGTATTTGCAGTTTTCCCTGATGTGCTTGTAAAGCTGCGCTGCGCAGGACTGCGTGACAGAAGGTAGCCTAGTTTCTGCTTTCACTCACTCAATAATGCTCTGTTTGCACTATTTAATTAACATCATCATATCCAAATACTTTATACATAATATTTTAAACCTGCTCCGGTGTTTGTTTTTAGAAAATATCTAAAATGTTTTTTTCAGAGAGGCCTTTGTAAAATGAAAATTTAATATGGCTTCAAAACGATTTGATTTATGTATTGTATATACCTACATTGTACCTACATATACCTACATTCTAGCTAGCTTTTGTTAGTTTTACATTGGTTTATTTATTTATTGTGATTTTATTATATCTTATTTAATTCTTTAAGGGTGCTTTCACACCTAGACTTTTGTTTCGGAACTTGTCTCGTTTGCCCAGTTAGCACGGTTCGATCAGCATATGTGAAACCAGCAATCACGCTAGGATCCGCGCCAAATCAATCGCTCCGAGATCGCTTGAATGAGGTGGTCTCGACTAGATTGAAACGAACTCTGGAACGGATCGATTGCAAGGAGAAATCAATACGGTCCGAGCACGGTTATATCACTGTGTTTTATGGATATGTAATAGGCATACGACTATATGAAGAGAGAATTATGAGTAGGGCAGGAAGTTTCGTGAGTCTCCTGGATGCCCGCAAACGCTACGTCGTGCACTCTTCAGACACGTCACGCGCACCTTGTCAAACACCACCAAACCACCACCTCTCCTGACAGCTGAGCGGGTCTCTGCAAAATAAACCCTGACACTCTGACCAATGTGAGGAGAGTTTACTCGCACGTGACTTGTTTTAGCTCTTTTGGTCCGTTTAGAAACTTTGCAGTGTGAAAGCGAACCGCACCAACAACAAAGAGCAACAATGTAACATTTGTAATACCCATTTCGGTACAACGTAATCGATTCACAGGTGTGAAAGCACCCTAAATTATTTCAATATAGCTTAGGCCATTTTATCGAGTTATGACACTATTGTTTTGAGCCTACAAAAGCGGACAAGTGATTTGTAAAGTTTTATGTCTTTCTGTTGTATTCATATTTTGTATTATCTCCAAAATAAAGGAAGAAGCCACTCGTGGCATCAACAGAGCCGTCAAGCGAGCGCTCTTTTGGCCCGTCTCTCTCACACACTTACAGGCATCTAAACGCGCACGTTTCATGCACAAACACTTTTTAAACTTGACAAAAACTCTCGCCAACAGAAAATTACTGGCGGCTGTGTCTTTAATGTGGTGTAAAGATTATTATGCGTTATTAAAACATAGGACGCAGCAAAGAAAAGTCACTTATAAATTAAAATTTTATTATTTTCTGCAACAGCCTTACATTTAAAAGGGAAACACAAGGGCGATCATAACAACAAAAAACATAGCCTATAGTGTGCTATATAGTGTAGCCAGCTGTTTTCTTTCCCTTAGCCCACTAATTTATTTGTTTGTTTGGCGCATGTACTCAAGTGCGATCGGAAAACTAGTGTAATGATGGGATGCCATCTTTACCAGACTCAGGCAAACTCCGCCTCTCCTTTCACTCTGCCTCAAAGCCCCAGCTGGCCCTCTTTGGCCCAAAGTATTCGTCAGGCCAAAAAAGGCTGATTGCTGGCCCAGAGAAAGCCCCACTTTGGCCCGATCAGGCCCCGGAAGTGACAGTGGAAACACGACTGGCCCTGGCTCGCTCGCTTCAGGCGCGATAGTGGAAACGTGACTACTAAGTGCATGTGAATGGTTTCTCTCCAGTGTGGAGCCTCATGTGTTTATTAAGATTGAATGATCGACTGTAACTCTTCCCACACTGAGTGCATGTGAATGGTCTCTCTCCGGTGTGGATCTTCATGTGTTGATTAAGTTGTGATAACTGGATGAAACTCGTCCCACAGTGAGTGCATGTGAATGGTTTCTCTCCAGTGTGGACCTTCATGTGTTGATAAAGGTTTGACGAGACGCTGAAGCTCTTCCAACACTGAGTGCATGTGAATGGTTTCTCACCAGTGTGCGTCCTCATGTGTTGAGTCAAGCTTGATGGGAAGATGAAACTCTTCCCACAGTGAGTGCATGTGAATGGTTTCTCACCAGTGTGCATCTTTATGTGTTGAGTAAGTTGTGATAACTGGCAAAAACTCTTCCCACACTGAGTGCATGTGAATGGTCTCTCTCCGGTGTGGATCTTCATGTGTTTATTAAGACTTGATAAGCAAATGAAGCTCTTCCCACACTGAGTGCATGTGAATGGTTTCTCTCCAGTGTGTATCTTTATGTGTCTATTAAGGATTGATGATTGGCCGAAACTCTTTCCACATTGAGTGCATCTAAATGGTTTCTCTCCAGTGTGAATCATCATGTGTTGACTAAGGTTTGATGATTGGCTGAAGCTCTTCCCACACTGAGAGCAGGTGAATGGTTTCTCTTCAGTGTGCATCCTCATGTGTCGATTAAGGTTTGATAATTGGCTAAAGCTCTTCCCACACTGAGAACATGTGAATGGTTTCTCTTCGGTGTGGATCCTCTTGTGTTTATTAAGGTTTGACAAGACGCTGAAGCTCTTCCCACACTGAGTGCAGGTGAATGGTTTCTCTCCAGTGTGGATCCTTGTGTGAATCTTAAGATCATCTTTGCCTCTACAACTCTTCCCACACTGAGTGCAGGTGAAATGTTTCTTGTCTCTCGTTTTCAAAATACTGTAAGTCTGTAAATTATTTTTTTCCTCAACTTTGACATGATGTTCCTCCTCTTTATTCGCCACATTTTTTTCAATTAGGTCTGAAATAAAAAACAACAGGTTAAAAAAAACAACTCTTATCAAACGCTGAAGTTAAATAGGGTACTCAATTTGCCCAGAGACATGGTTATTCCATGTAGGCGGGTAAAAATGCACTCTAACAACAAACCGTGGGTAACAAAATCAGTCAAATCCTGCATACAGAAAAAGAAATTGTGTTTTAAACAAGGAGCCAATTCTGATCTGTATCTGGCAAATAAAGAGCTTAAAAGAGACGTTCTCCTAGCTTAACAAAACTAAACTGAATTAGAAAACAAGATGGCTAGGGATAAGCATGGCAGGGCTCGAAATTGCGACCGTTTTGGTCGCATATGCGCACAAAGTTTCATCTATGCTACCACAAAATATATTTGGGAGCATTTGTGCGACTGCATAAAATTGATGACGTGCGACCGGCTTTCACTGCAAAACGCTCACCACACGCAGATTTAGGAAACATTCACGCAGAAGGCATCTTATAGAGGTCTGCATTCCACGGGACCCAACCAGATTTCTGCAGGCCAAGAATAAATTTGGGGTTTAATTTGGGACGGAAGCGGGTCGTCTAGCAATATCGCGAGCACGCGTATGTATGTGTGTAAATGAAATCGCACGATGCTGTGTTTAGCTTGTTTGTTGGTGTGTGTGTGTGCGTGTATATGTGTGTGTACGCGTGCGCGCACACACTCACACACACCTCTCATTCGTGCGCGCGAATGAGAGAGAGCTTTTTCTGTGTGTTTGTACTTGGTGCTTATGTGTGTGTGTGTTTATACAGACAGCTTGTTATAGGCTGTCTGGACTGTATAGCTGGGTGGATTTCGGTTTTGTCCCCCCCCGGGGGCGGTTTTGTCCCCCCCTAACATCCCCGGGGCGCGGCGGGTAGAAAACGGGGCGGGTCAGGCAACGGGACAACAAATGCTAAATATAAGTGGGAGCGGTCGGGATCGGGCTAAAACCTGGCGGGTGCGGGCGGGAGGGGGATTAAAAATTTTGTCTCACACAGATCTCTACATCTTAGCACCTGAGACACCAAATGCAGCGCTCATGAATAATTTAAAACAGTCAGTTGTCATGTCAACTTGCTGCAGTAAACAAAGCGCGCAATGCTTGCCCCGCCTTCAAGCTCTTTTGATTGGTCCACTGTTCTAGCACTGAATGCGAACGGATTGGTTAATATCAGCTGTCAATCACTCAGTCTTCAGCACTGACAACACTGACAGATTTAGTTTTAGAAAACATACAAGTTACAAATGATGGCACATCTGATCAGTGATCATGTGCTGAATGTTAATCCAGCATTTACACTTCTCGAAGAGTGGAAAAAATGACTTCCAGTGTTTAAAGTTCGCTATGAAAATGACTAAAGCATTCACCGTAAAGCCGGCGTGACGGAGTTTGCAGGTAACAGCGTTCGCCAAATCTACAGACTTTAAGCGCGAGAGGTTCTGTTTAATCCTTCATTTAATCGTCAGGATGCTGTCAGCTGTGCAGGTGGCAGCTATATGTGAAACGTAACACCACGTACACCATCGCAAAAGGGCTTGCATTCATTAAGATAACTAATAGCTCATGAAAAAACCGTATTGATTTTAAGATGACGTATGCCAATAATAAGCTATTATGTCAGCATTATCTGTGCAATATTACACAGCACCCGTGAGATCAGCAAAGTTATTATCGTTAACCAAGTTTCATTCATGTCAAGCAGTGTGTGCATGGCCGGTGGGCGCATGCGGATGACGTTTTGTTTGTTTTTTAGATTGTTTAGTGTTGATTTCAAATGCAGTAAATCGGATTATATAACATTAAATGTTGTAGTAAAGGTGCTTATTTTGGCTGGTGCTCCTAACTTTTTGAAGTTAGGAGCACCAGTGCTACCAAGCAAAAAGATTAAATTTCGAGCCCTGCTTGGTTCAGCCTGGGAAAGTTTGAAAACCATGACAGGCCTCCATAATCTAAAGAGTCACAACCAGATTAATTTAGCAGGCTAACACACTGATTTAGAGTTAGCCAATGGCCTTAAACAATTTTATAATCGTTTCAATAATTTACATTTCACTAGGGAAATTGAGGAATAAATTGTAAACTTACAGGTGGACAGCATTTTAGCGTACAACAGTCAGATGTACATAAAGCCTTCCTCTCAGTAAGAGTGAACAAGAGCAGTGGACCAGACAATATTTGTGGTCGCATACTTAAAATCTGTACAAGAGAATGCAGTCCAGTTTTTTGATTACATTTTTAATAAATCGTTACTAGAACATAAGGGGCCTCGTGTATCAACGCTGCATACGCACAAAAACTTTGCGTACGCCAGGTTTCACGCTCAGAATGGCTCACGTTTGGATTTACTAACAATGAACTGAACGTGGGAATGTGCGCAGCTTCACGCCAGCTTTATGGCTGGCGTACGCACATTTTTTGTGCGTGTCTGTTTTATTTCCATTGGCGACTCCTAGAGGCAGTTGTGTTAAATTCTTCTCTACAAAGTGTCTGAGCCTTGCAATGGCAGCTGTATGAGACGTTCATGCTCGAACGTGTCAAAACATGTTAACATGCGTTTTACGAGCTGCGCCACTGAGACTGATGAGATTGCTATAACATTTTACACATATAAGTCACACTATTTCTCTTTTAACTACACAGTGCGATGTTCAGACCCAACTGTGTTAACCGCATCAGCTAAACTCTCCCCACTCTATTTTTTTCTTTTGTTGTTAATTCCGGAGAACAAACTTGCAAATAACACTGTTTTTCTCCTGTCTACCTCCGAAAGCAGCACCTCCAATTCACATTCTGTTCAAAGTTTCTCTTCTTGCTTGCTTTTGCCATTGCTTTTTCGTTGGGTTTTGTCAAAGTAGAGTCATTAGCATATTCATAAGGGGGAGGAGGCAGGGAGGGGTTTTGCGCTCGTGCATGTTGCGCTCAGTTTCACGTTCATTCGGATGTACAAAAGAATATGCATGGGATTCGGCGTACGCAGTGTTTCATACATCTGCATTTTTTTCTGCATACGCAATGTTTTAGTATAATTTCCACACAAGTCTTCGTACATGAGGCCCTAGGTACCTAAGGTTTGGAAGGATGCTGTGATGGTCCTTGTTGCCAAATCCAACTCCCCCTAAACTTTTAATAAATTCAGACCCATAGCCTTAACATCAATTGGGATGAAAATTTTGGAAAAGTTTGTAAGGTCTGAAATACTCAGAAGAACAGGAGTACGCACTTGATCCCATGCAGTTTGCCTACAGGCCACATCCGTGAGTAGAGGCTGAAAAGTAACTTTGTTTAACCTACTTTTTAAACATTTGGAAAAAATGGTTCCCATGCCAGACTTTTGTTTGTCGACTTTTCCTTTGCTTTTAACACAATTTAACCCTATATTTTAATTAGTAAACATCAGGAACAGTTTGACCTCAGTAATAACCTCATGTATCAACGATGCGTACGCACAGAAACTTTGCGTACGCCAGGTTTCACGCTTACGTTTGGATTTACTAACGACGAAATTAACATGAGTATGTGCGTTGGTCCGCGCCAACTTCATGTCTGGCGTACGTGCATTTCTTGTGTTTGTTTTATTTCCATTGGCGACTCCAATGTATGTTAAATTGCACGCAACAAAGTATCGCACCAACACGTGAAAAACATTGCTAATAATTTATAATAATTGGCACAATATTTTTTTTACCAGTTATAACGTGATTTTAGTACATATAAAAGCATTTGCAAATTTAAACAACCCTTAGTCTATGGCAATGGCAGTGTTGGCCTTATAAGAGGACATCGTCAATGGTCGAATCCGAAGGGAACGCATTTGTTTGAGATCACAGTAATTTTCTGGCCCACGATGATGACTGGCTTATTAGCGGTTTCAGATTTTCAGGAGCTATCCTCAGTTCTGTGCTGAGTCGGGTCCAAATTTGGAATGATAGACAGCGAGGAGGCTCCAAGGTGGCAGGTTGGGGATGGGTGGCTTCTTGGTGAGTGATGTATTTAAAGATATTAATCCAGAAAAGGTTTTTAATTTTAATTTTATTGAGCGTAATTATTTAACTGCATATCAGGAGACTGTGGTTATCCATTATAGATGTGGCTGTTAGCTAGGGCTGTGCAATTATTCGAAAATCCGATTTCGGCGTCTAACGATTATGAAAAAGCATTAGTCGAGATAAAACGATTATTCCATCACATACCGCCCCCTTTCCAGTTGTACACGTGTTGTTTGTTTGTTTGTTTGTATACTTTACTGTCCCTCAAGGGGAATTTTTTTTTGTAGACTCATGTGGTGTTCGGCAAAGCTCAGTTCCACGTGAAAGTGACTAAAAGCATGTGCTGTTGTGTGTTTGCACCGCACTTAGCCTTGGACAGGTATCGTGTGTGTGTTTGCGCGTGCGCCGCGTTTAGCCTTGAACAGCAGAGCACACACACATCTAACGCCATCTTAATTCGAGCGCTTTAATGGTCAAATACATGCACATTTGTGTCAGAGCGCGGTGTTTAGTGATTATTTATATTAACCCTCATTTCATTTGTGTAATAAACAAACAAGTTGAGAATCAAAAGACACGAGAAAGAGAAACCATATCAGAGCCGCACTATTCTTAAAGTGACAGCGTGCAATATTCCTGCTGCTGCCGACTGTTTTTATTATTAATCAATAATAAAATCAAAAACACAGTGAAGATGCTTAAAGCACAGTTTAAACAACAGATTTAATAACTCATTTCTAATAACTGATTTCTTTTATCTTTGCTATGATGACAGCACACTATATTTTACTAGATATTTTTCAAGATACTAGTATTCAGCTTAAATTGACATTCAAAGGCTTAGTGTAATTAGGCAAGTCATAAACTTGCCTAAAACAACCCACAAACTGACCAAGAGCGCAGATACAATGATGGCCATTCTCGCACTCGTGTTTATCTTTACGAAGGGCGGCGGCCACAGAGATGCTGTAATGCTAGTAGCAGAGAAAGGTAAAATGCTACTAGCCAGAATGAGTTTAATCTGTTTCTCAAAGAGAGGAGTGCTTACATATAACTCATGATTGAATATGGTTTATGATTATCATGGTTAAAATTATTATTGATCAAAACATGAGAATAAAAGAAAACTGAGCTTCAGTCTCTATTTTTTTTTTTTACCTTGTCAACAGAAAGTACAAAATAATTTGATTCTTGTGCTTGTTCAATGAATCAGATCAACTGTTCAAAGCTTTTCATCATTATTGTTCTTCAGGCTTATTAATGAAAAATCAGGAGTAAACACCAACCTATTTGTTGTTCAGTATCTTCAGGTTTAATTCTGCAGGGTTCTGGATCACTCATGTTCTCGCTGTCCTTCAGTAAACTCTTCACTTGAGTCTGATGGGAATATTCCTGCATTTATAACAGAAACATTTGCATTAAATATTCAGTATATAATTAACAATCATAACCGTTTCTGAAACATCATTAATTGTATTAAAAACATACAAAATACAACAACACTGATAAAAAGTATTTAAGTATTTCAGTCTTATCAATGATAAATATTGTCAAATTCCTCCAGAAAACACATTTTCTAAACATTTTCCTCAAAATATTTCCTGAATTAAAACACTCTCTAATATCATTTTAAAAATACATCCTATTAAAATATGTTTTATCACCAAAATATTCTCACACAAGCTACAAATAGGTGTTTCTCCCCTGTTCAATAAATGTGTGTGTAAGTCTTGAGTGGCCGATTCTACATGTCATGTGTGCAGCGTGATCATGTCTCTGATTGTTTACATTTATCTCTCAATATTTTAATGAATTAAGTGTTTTATATTATTATACTGATCCCAAATTCTGTTTTACTGCAAAATAAAGCGTTTGCGTCTCTTCAAGAGTTTACACAAGCATATGTTCAGTTAAACAGTCAATATTCAATATAATCAGCATTAAACTACCTCTTAGTGAATGAATTAGATGGAGACACAAATGAAAGGTGTCCAGATAACCCGTGAGTAAGACATTACAAGAGTGTTTACAGCGTAGCATCGAGCTAAAAACAAGAGAGTATATTAGCATTGAGCACATATGTTAAAGCGGTTCAAACCGCAAGATAATTCCCGCAAGTCTGCGAACGCTACTGTGGTCAGATATCATACACTTACTCTGAACAGACGAACAACACCCGTAACAGAAGAGGAAATAAGCACATTAAACGTCAAACAGCAAAGTTCTGCTCTCTCCGATCTCCGCCTCACAATAAGCGCTGTGGGCGGGATGTTTGCCTGCGCGTTGATCTGCGAAAGCTGATTGGCTGCCTGTAGCAGGTTCTGAGAAAGCTGAAAGTCTGTAGGTTCAGAGGAATTGCGGGTGTTCAGTCAGGAGAAATAGTAAGTGGTTTGTTTTGGTAGTGCACCTGTTATGAAGTGTTTCGGGTTGACTTTATATTTTCTTAAAAATGTTTTAACTGCGTTAAGCGTTTTAGAATGTAGTAACTTAATTTAGCTTAGCATTAGCTTAATTTTTAACTTGCTTTCATGTGACCGAGTCAGGGCTAATGTTATATTTCAGTCAGGATAGCGTGAAATTTGCATCTTAATCCCTTTATCCTGGTTTTGTGAGATACACTCAGAAAATATGAACTGATAAAGAAAGTAAGAAACATAAATAAGGAGGGTAACATATACCCATGAGAAGAGTTTAGTTGACACCGTGGTAATGCCCACTATCAATCTGAGGTAAAACTGGCCTGTAATATCTAAGTTTTATTTTAATCTTTTTTTTTTTTTTAAATCAAGGCCAAATCAAAGGTTTAAAGAGCTTTTGTTTTAGAATGTCACATCAGATGTCCATGAAAAAGGTTTAGTGGACACCGTGAGAATGTCTACAATCTAAGGTGTAGCTGATTTAAGATTTAAGACATAAGATTTTAATGGCTTTTATTTTGTAATTACGGATAAAGCAATCTTGAAATTCTGATTATTTATTTGCATTCATTTCTTGTTTTTCGTTATTTAATATTTTATCATCAGTCAGTGAGACGCTGATCTATCATAAAAAACATGCATTAGTTTGAACATGAACCGTTCAAACATGAACAGTATTAAGTTTTTAACGCTCTACCATAATACGCAGTGTATGAGCGACCACAGAAATACGTTGGCAGCTAGAATGACTGTCAGATTCTAGAAAATCAGATTCTCAAGGCATAGGGGCCTACTCATACACCGGCGCAGTAAGGCGCAAGATGTGTTTGGAGTGATGTGTTGCTATTTTCAGACCAGCGCAACAGTAATCTTCCCGTTATGCGCCACGTTGTTTAAATAGTAAATCCATTTGCGCCACATTTTGCTCGTTCTTTATTCTCGCGCTGCAGATGCTCTGTTTAACTGTTTTCTCGCTATTGAAGCTTCAGTTTTTCCACTTCCAAAGTCCAGCATGTAAATAGCAAATGTGCCATGGCGATGCAACTAACTCTTTAAGGGAATGGGAGATGAGACTCCGATTGGTTTATTTTCAAAACACACCCATAACTCATTACGAGGATAAGCACAACCCTGTTAGACCATGCGTCGCGGCGCTTACTGTATTCTTCCATCCTTAAAGTAGCAAAAAGGGAATTCGGACACACCCTTAATGCTTTTGTGCCATGTGATTTAGACTTTGCACCAAGATTGTTAATCTTTAAAATAATAACTTGTATTAAAAACGTTGATAGAGGTTTGCGATACAGCAGAGCACTAAAAATGCGTATTTGCCCTGGAGCGATTGATTTGTCTGGCAACACAACCAGCATATTCCATCACCTGAAAACCCTGAAAGTTTTACAATTAGTTTGGACTTGCTGGAAGTTGTAGTGTATATTTTTGTTTATGTTTTGCACATTTAATTCACCTCGTAATGCCGGACCTTAAACAGATTAGTCTTTTTAAATGTATTTTTCTATTTGTTTTAATTTAAGGCCAAATGTGTTTTTGGTAATAAACAATATTTTAAATTGTGATTTAATCAAACGTCTAATTTTTGTTGAATCAGTCATTGTTGGGATAATAACTTTTACAGCTGGAAGCATCAACAACTTATGTCGAAATTTTGCGATATATTGGTCAATATGAAAAAAAATTTGAGTTTGCATTTTTGCCATATCGCCCAGCCCTACTCTTCCTGTGTGTATGATGGCGTGTTGATTGCTGAAACTCTTCCCACACTGAGAACATGTGAATGCTCTCTCTAGTGTAGGCATGGGCTAACACATAAGACTCTGACGATATGATAACTTCGGATAATCATATCATGGTTTGACTGTATTGTGATTACTGCTCTAATATACGCTCTTCTTAAATGTCTGGGTGAAGAACTAACACTTTTCCCCCTTTGAACACAAAATATTTTATTTTGAGAAACATTTAAAATATTGTGGAGCAGTAAACATGTCAGGCTGAATAATTCCAATGAATCATTGACTTCTGCTGTCTTCATTAGTTTCAGAAACACAGATTTATTTACAGTTTAAAACAGCATTTTAGATATCTTTTCTGCTGAAGAAACTGTTGTACTAAAAAACTAAAAAAATCACAATAAATCTGTCATATACCACAGGAACAGTATAGCAGAATATTTTGGCAGGTTTAAAAATTTGACTTTTACAAACCGCAGTATACCTAAAAAATGGTTATCATTAGGGCTTGACATTAATACCCGCCAACCTGCCAAATGCAAGTAGATTTCCCCTGTGGCGGGTTAGACAGCCACTACCACTAGCCACTTTGTCTGGTTGAAACATACCTTTAAATTGTAGTTTTCTTAACTGAAGGGTTCGACAATAAAGACGACCAAATATGCATGCAAATACGATCTTAGAATGGAGAAGCAGCACGACTGACAAAAGTAATTGTGTTTGCGCGAGCAGGTTAATACCGAATGAGAGGATCATTACTCGCGCACAGGTGATGTGATGCGCGCAACTGTTTAAAACATGTGCGCGCTCCCGTTTCCTTGCGTGAAGCAACTGTGCCTGGAAACGCAACTGATGCGATCGGTTCTCTTTCAAGTAGACTAGACAAAAAGTGATGCTCATGCACCCACAGTCTTGCTGCTTTCAAGAGCTCCAGATTTGTCTTTTGGTAAGCAGCACCGACTGCTTTCACTTTAACCAGTCGTTGAGCAGATTAATAGGCCTAGCATTAACCTTATATGTGATCATCCTTTCATTATCACACACTTAATCTTTTTCACCTGCTTCCTTTTGCTTATTTTTGTTCATACGGTTTCATTATCATCTTTCAAAATAACATTGCTCTAATATGAGATTAGCTCCCCATTTAGGTGTAGATAACTGATCTGGGACCTTTAGCCAGGACAGATTGCAGTGCATAGTTTACATACTATTTTAAATGTCAATTGTTTATTTATGTAATGTTTTGTTCAATAAAAAAGTATAGTATACAGAAATGTTTTGCTTGTTTTGACACATTTAAAATTTGTGGATAAGAAATAATTATTTATGTTTGGTGTGGTCAGAGAAAAATTTGGTGAATCCTTAATTTGAGCTCCGTAAAGTCTTGTGAAGTAAAAACATTGTAATACAACACTATGAAACCCATTTGCTCATACACAACACATGAGGAGGCATGTGCACATAACACAAAATCTAAATCAAGTAATTTTAGCATGTCAAAGTCATATTTATGCGTATTAAATATTTTTCCCAACAATAAAATTGTGGCTAGTGAAAATGGCGAGTGCCTAGTAATAGGTGCCTACTAGCCACAGTGGCTGGTGATCAAAAAAAAAAACAAGTTAATGTCAAGCCCTGGTTATCATCCCATGCCTACTCCAGTGTGGATCCTCATGTGTCGATTAACGGATGATGAATGGCTGAAACACTTCCCACACTGAGTGCACGTGAATGGTCTCTCTTCAGTGTGGATCTTCATGTGTTGATTAAGGTTGGATGATCGACTAAAACTCTTCCCACACTGAGAACACGTGAATGGTTTCTCTCCAGAGTGGACCTTCATGTGTATATTAAGGTTTGATAAGAAGATGAAACTCTTCCCACACTCAGTGCATGCGTATGGTTTCTCTCCAGTGTGGATCTTCATGTGTTTATTAAGGTTTGATGATTGGCTGAAGCTCTTCCCACACTGAGTGCATGTCAGTGGGTTCTCTCCAGTGTGGGTCTTCATGTGTTTATTAAGGTTTGATGAGAAGATGAAGCTCTTTCCACACAGAGTGCATGTGAATGGTTTCTCTCCAGTGTGGATCTTTGTGTGTTTATTAAGGTTTGATAATTGGCTGAAGCTCTTCCCACACTGAGTGCATCTGAATGGTTTCTCTTCAGGATGGATCTTCATGTGTTTGTTGAGGTTTGATGAATGGCTGAAACTCTTCCCACACAGAGTGCATGTGAATGGTTTCTCCCCAGTGTGGCTCCTCATGTGTTGATTAAGGTTGGATGATCGGCCGAAACTCTTCCCACACTGAGTGCAGGTGAATGGTTTCTCTCCAGTGTGGATCCTCATGTGAATCTTAAGATTGCCTTTTCCTTCACAACTCGTTCCACACTGAGTGCAGATGAAATGAGTCCTGTCTCTTGGTTTCAAAATACTGCAAGTCTGTAAATGATTTTTTTCCTCAATTTTGACATGATGTTCCTCCTCTTTACTCGCCTCATTTTCTTCAATTAGGTCTGAAATAAAATTTAAAAATCAGCTTTTTATTAAGTCTATAAAACTGTCATTAAAAGCTGTAGTCAAAAGGTAAAATCATTTGCGACACAAGCTGTAATTTTGATTTGAATTCTGTTGATCATCAGTTACAGTGCAAAAAAGCTCCATTTTTACATTGTATATGGAGTATAGTGTGAGTATGAGAGAGAGTGTGTGTATACAGTGAGTCAGTTTACATGGACACCAGTAATTCGATTTAAATGTAATTAAAGGGTCACGAAACACCAAAACACATTTTTTGAGCTGTTGACAGTCGTATATGTGTCCCACACTGCTAAAAACACTATTAGGACACCTATATTTCACTAAAAAGTGTAAATTGGTTGTTTTTGCGTTATTTCAAGCAAATTCGTACTTCCTGTTTGAAACGAATTTTTGAAGCTGCGTCACGGTCATGACATAATAGCGTGTATTCCAGCGTGCAGACTGGACGCCTGTGCCAGAGTGAGTCTTATTACGTCTTACAGTGTGATGCATTAATGCATGAGTAAGGCTTGGTTCAAACCAATCAGCGCGCTCTACTGAGCAACTTCATTAATATTCATTTGTGTCACCGTGCTTACACCACAAAGACGCCACGTTGTGTTGGCAAAACAAGCGTGAAGTGTTGCTTTTATAGTTTTCTGCAGTTAAGTTTTGTTTTCATTTTCCCTCTGTGAGAGCTTATCTGGATCATGTGTGGATTAACAGTGTACGCGACGCTCGACAACAATAACTTGCGTGTCTAAGGAGGATTATTGTTTACCTGAGAGCTGTTCTCATCTGCAAACGCTGAAATCCGGATTCGCTTGTTGTCTTCTCTTAATAAAGACGCGGCTCTAGTTGCTGGTGATTGTCCTGTCTCTACAGATTTGGTAAGTGAGCGACCAGTGCTCTTTGTTTATTCAGTTTGTTCGTATCGAATTAAGTTAACTATAGCACTGAGTGCAGAAATGTTAGCACCGCATTTTGTGACCGGAATAACACACGCGGCTTTCTGACGCTACCTGCCGTGTGCATCTAAGTTTCCGGGAAATGCGGAGTTTTTTTTTTTTCCTCTCATTCACTGTGCGGTATCAAACATTGCATGAAAAATACACGCTTAGAGCAGATCCTCGAATCAAATATCTCGTTTGTCGCGAGGGGCATAAATGAATTCCCTGAATGAAAGAGCCAAACTGCAGTTAAAGTCCACCATTTAATAATTTGGCAAATAATTCGACTACAGATGTCCATGTAGGTTAAACACCATCACTTTCTCCTGTCTGTGTGTGTGTGTGTATTTTGACTCTGAAACTCACGCGTGCACAAATAGACACTCCCACACTATCCCACTTTAGTTCCTCCGACACTCCCCCCTAAACAGAGCTGGACACGCCCACTTTTCTGACTTTTTCCAAAGTAGAGGTGTGAAAACACCCTGCTGAAACGAGAGGGTTTCATGGCCCTTTAAGACAATACTCGACCATGTAAACAGCATTTTTTGATTCATTTAATCTGATTAAGGTCATAAATGAACTACAGAGAAATCAAATTAAGACGTGGAGTATGCTGCTTTGTTACATTGATCAAGTGCAGTACAGACATGTAAACACCTTAATCAAACTATTACTGTCATGTAGGACTTTTCTCCGCGTTTTGCAACAGGATAGTCCACACACACACACACACACACACACACACACACACACACACACACACACACACACACACACACACTAGAGCTGCACGATTCTGGCTAAAATGAGAGTCGCAATTTTTTTTTTTTTGCCTAAAATAAAGATCACGATTTCTCACGATTCTGTACATGTAAAATAAAGGTTAATATGAGTGGGCGATTATTATTGTTTTTCTCAAACGTAGTAAAACAGCAATAGGCTTTGTGTATCTGTACTGTTGGTTAAAATGCTAAAGTTTGTATAGACTTGGAATGGTGGACTTGAACAGACTTTAGATGTGTCCTGGTCATTAATGCTGATGATAACTCTGATGTTGAATTATTGTGTTTGAGACATTTGCTTACAGTCTATCATTTTCTGCTTAAAATCTGCCACTGGCGTGATTTTCATGAATACAGAAGACTGGGTGGGTATTTTAGCCTTTTGGATACTCTTTGGGCTGGAATCAGTCAGCTACATCTGGCAACACTGTGTGCGATTTCGGTTTCATTTTCACTGCTAAGAGTGGTTCACTTCCTGCACGGCTCCCAAACGATCACTCTGTGCCACAAACAATGTTATTTACAACTTTATTACCCGTTATTCACAACCTATGCAGGTTCTGTTCACTAAAGTAAACTTCATTCAGAGGCCTCTATGGTAACAGCTGACGGTCAGCTCACATCACGTGTGATTTTGCGGTCGCAAATACATTACATGAAAACAGAAATTACATTTTTGGGGTTAATTATGTCTTATAAATACAGCATGTGACTCTTTCAACCCCATTTGGAGGTGTCCACGTTGCTGCACAACATACGTAAAACATTGTGAAGGCTTGTGCGGCCACCATTGCTTCTCTCCTGAACTTGAAAATATGATTGACCGAATCGTAGAAATGCTGAATTAAGATCGTCTAGACCACTGGTGTCAATTTCAGTTCTTGGAGGGCCGCAGCTCTGCACAGTTTAGTTCCAACACTGCTCCAACACAAGTCAGGATTGTTAGGTTTCAAACAAGCCTGAAGGACTCAATTAGTTTGATCAGGTGTGTTTAAGGTTAAAGCTAAACTGTGCAGAGCTGCGGCCCTCCAGGAACTGGAATTGACACCAGTGGTCTAGGTGGTTGAATCGAGATCGCAATCTTTTTACGATTATTTGGGCAGCTCTAACACACACCCACACATAAGCATCTTATCGATAATCGTTTACACAGTTTCATTAAGACGAAACATAGAAACGTAATCCGACTAACATCTAGTAGCCAAATGTGTCAGGAAAATATTCAATGGCTTTTAGGAAAGGTCTGTATGTGTGAAAGGGGCTATTATGTACAAATGCCAAAAACATGGACCAGTTGAGAACTTTCCTAGGAGTCGCTGATTGACCAAAAGTACACCAAGAGAGCATCAACAAGGTCATTAAAGACAACAACAACCAAAGACCTGCATGGCCTCACTAGGCTCAGTTAACGTGAGTGTTCATGACTCCACCATAGAAAAGAAACCGGGCAAAAATGTAGCAGGGCTCCAATAAGAAAACCACTGAAGCCAACTTGGGTTCTGCGGCAAGACAATCGTCCAAAGCACACTAGCAAGTGTACTTCTGAATGGCTGAAGAAAAACAAAAACATTTTTGGAGTGGCCTAGTCAAAGTCCTGACTTGAATCTCGCTGAGATGCTGTGGCATGACCTTAAAAAGCCGGTTTATGATCGAAAACCCTCCAATGTGGCTGAATTAAACAATTTTGCAAAGATGAGGGGCCCAAATTTTCGTCCAAAGCGCTGTAACAGACGAAAACACTTGATTGCCGTTGTTGTGGCTAAGGGTGCCCCAACCAGTTTTAGGTTTGGGGGCAAACTCTTTTTCACACAGGGTCATGCAGTATTGCAGTAAACCTTCATGTCAAAAGTGCATGATGTGTTTACTTGAGCTTTCTTTAACTAATATTTAAATTAGTTTAGATTATCTGAGAGTGACAAACATAAAAAAGACAAGTATAACAATAGCAATGTAAAGTTTCATAAAGTAATAATAAATAGTTTGTGTAATGTAGCTGTGTGAATATAAACAACATCTTTGAATGCAAGATGCATTCAGACTTTAGCCTCATTCGATTATATTTAGAAATATAATATTATATAACAAGTATATTTAAAAGAAGATGAAAACAGCACAAATGTCAGGGAATGCCAACACGTCTCCTCAGACCCCAGACAGAGGGTTAAATGTTTGACAAAATCTCCTTTTACTGAGCATTTGATCAAAACATTGGAATAAAAGACAACTGAGCTTCAGTCCCTATTTGTGACCTTGTGAATGGAACGTGCATTTACTTTTCTATGTCTTTAGATAAAGTCCTTCATTTTTTGTGCTTGTTCAATAACTCAGATTAAGCTTCTCATCATTATTGTTCTTCAGGCTTATTAATGAAGAATCAGGAATAAACACCAACCTATTTGTTGTTCAGTATCTTCAGGTTTAATTCTGCAGGGTTCTGGATCACTCATGTTCTCGCTATCCTTCAGTAAACTCTTCACTTGAGCCTGATGGGAATATTCCGGTGTTTATAATTGAACTGAAGGAGTAGGAGCTTCACTGGAGGAGGGACAAATCTGCAATTATTAAAAACACTCACATTTTTTCTAACTTCTAACACATCAGTTTTGCTTATATTTAATAACTGATATTTTAATGACATTTCAACAACATTGGCTATAGTCACGGAAACATATTTTAAATATTCAGTATATAATTTACAATCATAACTGTTTCTTTAACATCCTTAATTGAATTAAAAACATACAAACAACACTGATAAAGTCTTTTAAAGTCTTTCAGTTTGGTCAATGACAAATATAGTAAAATTCCCCCAGAAAACACATTTTCTAAACATTTTCCTCAAAATATTTCCTGGATTAAAACACTCTCTAATATCATTTTAAAAATACATCCTATTAAAATATGTTTTATCATCAAAATATTCCCACACAAGCTACAAATAGGTGTTTCTCCCCTGTTCAATAAATGTGTGTGTAAGTCTTGAGTGGCCGATTCTACATGTCATGTGTGCAGCGTGATCATGTCTCTGATTGCTTACATTTATCTCTCAATATTTTAATGAATTAAGTGTTTTATATTATTATACTAATCCCAAATTCAGTTTTACTGCAAAATAAAGCGTTTGCGTCTCTTCAAGAGTTTACACAAGCTTATGTTCAGTTAAACAGTCAATATTCAATATAATCAGCATTAAACTACCTCTTAGTGAATGAATTAGATGGAGACACAAATGAAAGGTGTCCAGATAACCCGCGAGTAAGACATTACAAGAGTGTTTACAGCGTAGCATCGAGCTAAAAACAAGAGAGTATATTAGCATTGAGCACATATGTTAAAGCGGTTCAAACCACAAGATAATTCCCGCAAGTCTGCGAACGCTACTATGGTCAGATATCATACACTTACTCTGAACAGACGAACAACACCCGCAACAGAAGAGGAATTAAACCAATTAATCGTCAAACAGCAAAGTTCTGCTCTCTCCGATCTCCGCCTCACAATAAGCGCTGTGGGCGGGATATTTGCCTGCACGCTGATCAGCGAAAGCTGATTGGCTGCCTGCAGCTGGTTCTGAGAAAGCTGATTGGCTGCCTGTAGGTTCAGATATATTCCGGGTATTCAGTCAGGAGAAATAGTAAGTGGTTTGTTTTGGGAGTGCCAAATTATGCTTATTTAAAACGATCAATAAAACAGAAAAGTGAAGATTTATTCTACTTAATAACTAGGCCCATACAGAATCTGCACGCACAGAATTCTGCTGATTTTTAGCCCATCAGTGATTCTGTTTATTTACTTGTGTAAATTTATATTTACTCAGTTTTAAATAAATTTCAGTAATTTTATTGACTAATATGATAATGTTTATATAATGTATTTACAATACAGTTTGTAAAGTAATATTTTCTGTCTTTTAGGAGAGATATTATATAGACTTGCTTTGTTTACCAAATAAAGTGGATCTAATTGGATTTTCATTGTAAACAAGACAAGTTAAAAAGGTATTACTTTTATTTCATACATAAAGGTTTTAGCTATCATCCTCTTAAAATCAATCTGCATAAATCCGCAGATTTTTAACAAAAACGTCCACAGATTCTGTCTGGCCCTACTTAATAACTGTCTGAACGACTTGTACATTTCAAAACAGCACTGTTTAGTCAACTAGCAGCTTCAAAAAAATAAGAATTAAACTATCTTTAGTGTTTGGGTCAAATCTGACCGATTTACAACTTAAATCACTTATATTGTTTTTACATTTGATTGCCTTGAGGACCTATGATATCCTCCACACTATGCATTCGAAAAGTGATGATCACATCTTTTATTAAATGGTTTTAATCATCCTTGTTACACCTCTGATGTTTCCGGTCAAAAGTGACCACCATAGGAAATGAATTGGGATCCAGGCTATATTCATTCATCAGACAGAAAACATCCCCACACACACTACCCCAACTCACTCATTTCAGACTGATCCTCCAGCCTGATCTCACAAGGAAACATAACTATTTTAGGTTTTGTCAGTTTAGTGGCTCAATTATGAGTTCAGTTGTACAAAATTGTATGATTTTTAAATCACCCAACCCCACCCCTAAACCCAGTCGTCATTGGGGATAAGCAAATTGTACAAAACTGTATGTATAAGATCGTACAAGTTCATATGGATCAGCTACTAAACCAATAAGTTATGAATTGCCATGAAAGTGTTGGATCCTCTAACGTGAATTAACTCCCTGATAAAACAGACTAGGTGTCTGTTATGTGAACCCATCTGTGTGTCTTTCTTTCTGCCAATCTCCATTCACCCAGTCTAGCAAGAGCACTTTTAGCTTAGCTTAGCAACAATTATTATATTATATTAGACTGTTATAATCTCGCTCAAAAGTGACCAAAGTATAACTAGTGCTAGTTCCGTGTCCATGCTCACCGTATATACCCTCAGTCACTATTCCCTATGTCAGTACACTTGAAGGACTGAAAATTCGATCACTCAGAACACAGGAAAGGACAGCGTTTGTTTGTGCTTTGCTGGTTGATGAATCATTCAGATGGATTAAAAGTTCAGTTTCTTTGGTCAGACCCTGTGATAGATATTTTACCGAGCTGTCTATTAGTAATGATACAAAGTATTTTGATTTCTGTCATCTGTTGTTCATTTTGTAATATTTTCAGGGCCTAGTTTTATTTTCATTGCAGTTATTTTATGTCTACTTCTGTAAATTCAGGTTAAACACTACTTTGAGACATTGTTTAACAGCTAAAGAATGTTGAATAAAAATGTGGTGGAGAAAAATAGTTTTTGTGCTAATATAAGAGCAGTTTCAACAAACCGGTCAATTCTGACAGGGAACACTGGAGTAAGGGGCAGGATGTAAACACTGACAGAAGGGTTAATAAAGGGGACAATGCAGACTACTTTGCATTCTTCTGGAGTGTTTAAAACATATTTTATTAAGTTGGCAAACAGATTGAAGATTCTATAAAAGATTGTTGGTTGAGTTTTTTGTTTTGCAGGCAATGAAATATCAGCTGTCAATCACTCAGTCGATGCCTTCTGGCTTGGGATGACAGAGAGAGCTACTACCGCGAAAAACTAAAGCGCTGAAGATGAGAATGAAGATAACACTGACAGATTTTGTTTTAGAAACCACCCAAAGTTAGAAATAATGACACATCTTAGTAGTGACCATGTGCTGAATGTTACTCCACCATTTACACTTTTCCAAGAGTGGATAAAAGATCTCCATTGGCTTCAAGTCCGCTATGAAAAGTCTGTGGGATGGAATTTTCAGGTAACTGTTTGCCACATCTAGCACGAAAGCTTCTGTTTAATCCTTCATTTAATAGCCAGATACTGTCCGCGGTGCAAGTGGCAGCTATATGTCAAATTTAACACCATCGCAAATGGGCTTACACTGAGTAAACTAATATCGCTACTCCTAAAAAGACCGGTATTGCTATTAACATGACGTATGCATATAATAAGGTACAGTATATGTCAAAAGCATCAGTGCAATATCAGACAGCACCCGTGAGTACAGCACAGTTATATCGGTAACAGATTCATTCATGTCAAGCAGTGTGTGCAGGGCCGGTGAGTGCTCCGTGTACCTTTGGTCACTCAGTTATGTTACAAAAATCTATTTTCCAGTGATAACAGGACTTCCTTGAGACATATTTTCCTTACGCTTGCATATGTATATTTTTTTGCTTGTTAGTTTGATTACTGTTGATTTCAAATGCAATAACTATGTTTGTATAAAACTTGTAGTAACGGGTGCTACCAAGCAAAAAGGTTTATTTCGAGCCCTGTCAATGTTTAGTGAAAAACAAATCTGGCAACACAACCAGCATATTCCATCACCTGAAAACCCTGAAAGTTTCACAATTAGTTTGGAGTTGCTGGAAGTTGTAGTGTATATTTTTGTTTATGTTTTGCACATTTTATTCACCTCGTAATGCCAGACCTTAAACAGATTAGCCTTTTAAAATGTATTTTTGTATTTGTTTTATTTTAAGGCCAAATGTGTAATCTGTTTTTGGTAATAAACAATATTTTAAATTGGAATTTAATCAACCGTCTAATTTTTGTTGAATCAATCATTGTTGGGATAATAACTTTTACAGTTGGAAGCATTAACAACTTATATAGTAATTTATCAATTTATTGTTCAATATGAAAAAAATAAGAGTTTTTGCCATATCGCCCAGCCCTACTCTTCATGGTGTGTTGATCATCTGAAACTCTTCCCACACTGAGAACATGTGAATGGTCTCCCTCCAGTGTAGGCATGGGCATTTTCCAAACCGCGGTATACCTTGAAAACGGTTATCATCCCATGCCTACTCCAGTGTGGATCTTCATGTGTAGTTTAAGATGTGAAGATTGGCTGAAGCTCTTCCCACAGTGAGTGCATGTGTATGGTTTCTCCCCAGTGTGGATCCTCATGTGTTGATTAAGGTTTGACGAGACGCTGAAACTCTTCCCACACTGAGAACAAGTGAACGGTTTCTCTCCAGTGTGGATCCTCATGTGCTTATTATAGTTTGATGAGAAGATGAAACTCTTCCCACACTGAGTGCATCTGAATGGTTTCTCCCCAGTGTGGATTTTCTTGTGTTTATTAAGGGTCGATATTTGTCTGAAGCTCTTCCCACAGTGAGTGCATGTCAATGGTTTCTCTCCAGTGTGGATCCTCATGTGTGGAACAAGTTGTGATAACTGGCAAAAACTCTTCCCACACTGAGTGCAGGTGAATGGTTTCTCTCCAGTGTGGATCTTCATGTGTCTATTAAGGTTTGATGATTGGCTAAAGCCCTTCCCACACTGAGTGCATGTAAACGGTTTCTCTCCAGTGTGGATCATCATGTGTTTATTTAGGGATGATGATTGGCTAAAGCTTTTCCCACACTGAGTGCATGTCAATGGTTTCTCTCCAGTGTGGATCCTCATGTGAATCTTAAGATGGCCTTTGCCTCTACAACTCATTCCACACTGAGTGCAGATTAAATGACTCTTGTCTCTCGTTTTCAAAATACAGCAAGTCTGTAAATTATTTTTTTCCTCAATTTTGACATGATGCTCCTCCTCCTTACTCGCCACATTTTCTTCAATTAGGTCTGAAATAAAATAAAAAAACAGGTTTTTATTAAGTCTATAAAACTGTCATCAAAAGCTGAAGTCAAAAGGTGCTAAATCATTGGCTACACAAGCTGAAATTGTGATGCACATTAAATGTGACAAATCTGCATAAAGTCTGAAAAGTGCACCTTTAACCCTTGTGTGCTGCTGGGTTGTTTTCATCCACTCTGTGATGATATCAAGTTTTAATTTGGCCACAACTTTCTCAGTGTTTCAGCAAATGGACTGATGTTTGATGACAAATCTTATTTTGACATATATGTTGGGAAAATGCTTTGGATCTTTAAAAAAAAAAAAACAACCATAAACAAATTGACTACCTTTTCATTATGTTTGGGGCTGTTTTTACCCCATTGACTTCCATTTGAATCACATTTTTTGATTGCATGACAGCAAATAATCAAATTTGCTGGTCAAAGGTCATATTTGTGAATTTTGCTCTTGATCACCTTCCTAGGAGTGGCCGGATGACCAAAATTACACCAAGAGAGTATCGACAACTCATCCAAGAGGTCACAAAAGAACCACAACAACACCCAAAGACCTGCATGCCTCACTCTCCTCAGTTAAGGTGAGTGTTCATGACTCCACCATAAGAAAGAAACTGGGCAAAAACGTAGCAGAGATGCAATAAGAAAACCACTGCTGAGCAGAAACAACATAAAAGCACATCTCAGGTTTGCCAGAAAACATTTTCATCTTTGGGAAAATGCTCTGTGAACGGACAAAGGATAAAAAAAAAATTTCCGTCTCAGCAGTGTGTTTTTACACCTCTACTATGAAAAAAGTAAGGAAAGTGGGTGTGTCTAGTTCTGTTTAGGTGGGAGTGTCCAGGGAAGGTTTTACATAAAAATGGGAGTTTCCATTTGGGCATGCTCAGATTTTCTCAGAGGCAAAACAAACACACAGAAGCAGAGGAGAAAGACATTAGGTGCATTCGACTTGAACCATGGCGGCAGCCTGTGATCAACGAGATTAGCGGAGCGCTTCGTTAAAAACGAAGCAGTCAACCGGACTGTTCGGGGCTCAAAGTTGGCGTGATGACCGATCACATGGCTCCATCATCATTTATTTGTTTTTATTTATGACAAAGATTTACAGTACAAAGAAAACAGAATACCGTCTCTACAAACCATAGCTAATTTTTCAACAGTAAGATAATTATGAATTAAATATATAACAAAAGCATGAGAGAAATAAGGGGAAAAGAGAGGGTATAAACATAAAAATGAACAGGCCTATTAAAATGCAAAAGCAATAAGCACAAATTCTAGGAGTTTAAACATTCCTCTTTAGGCTAATACTTCTTGTTTGAATATGCTAAAAAGGGGTTTACATTTAGAGATTTTAAACTTTCCAATATATATTAGTGTACAACCCAAAACAAGGTGTTTTGATTAAGTCTTAAACAATAATGAAGATTATTTTGGATAATGAATGCATTTTCAAAAAAGCACTCATCTAAACAAAAAATAAAACATACCCAAAATAAGTGAGCTACACTTGTGAGCGAAGAAGAAAGAGCAAGGTATGTGTGCATAAACAGCTTGACAGGAAAAAAAACATTTTATAATCATATAAATAATTGTATAATTGTTTAATAATCTTTTTTAATTAATTTGTTAAGAAAGCTTTAGGCTGGCAGGATCAATGATGATAATTATTTTATTACAAGTCTGTAAAACTTAATATTTAGGTTATTTACTAAAATGTATCAATTAAATTGTTCATGGATAGCAAGCATACTAACATCAATGTACTAGTAGTGTACTTGAAATGTTCTTCCAGAAGCCCATTAGGATCCACTGCAGTGACAAAAGCTGCACACTTTGTGGATAAAAAAAATAAAAATAAATCTTCATTTTTAGCTTGTGCGGTTGTACAGTTCAAAGAATTGTTCAGTTGTGTACTGCTGTCACTAAAATAAACAAATTAATAGCATGACTCCTTGTGTAGGTTTTCAGTCTGAACAGCCACGCCGCATCTCACCAATCCCTTTTTATTACAAGCGCCGTTGCCCCTATGCAATCCTCAAAAACAGTCAGTTCATGTAACGATGCATGACCGTCAGCTGATGCGCTCCACAGTGATAAGTAGAGGCTGTTTCCCATGCGGATTCTGTACGTACATGATTTGATCAGAGCTCAAGCGGACACTGAGTTTTGGGTGTGTGTTTGAACAGACATATACACATCATCACCATCATCATCATCATTATATTAATAATAATAATAATAATAATAATAATGGTGGTTCATTCTGCTGTGGCAACCCCAGAATAATAAAGGAACTAAGCCGAAAATAAAATAAATGAATGAATAATAACAACATCTAGACACGTCGATCTTGTTGGGTTTTCTTTTAAACAACAAATTTTGTCTTAAATGAGCATAAACTGTTAGCAAAGCAATCAAATGCTTTCATTGCAGATCTGTGCATTTTTAAAGTGACAGTGCTGTTATTTAATGTAATCCAACCCAAAAAATGTACACGAGAGATTCATTCGCTGCTCGTTAATCAGAATGATTAAAATATACTGTGAAGAAAAAGTTCATGAGATTTGATAGCTTGTTTCAATTTCTTTATAATAGCTATTAATATTAATGAGCTGAGCTGTTTGCTAATTTATGTGCAGCTTTTTCTAATGTATACTAATTATTTTATTCTTTGTAAATAATCATGAAAACGTATTATTGACTGTTTCAGCAGTCTATTTACAATGAAACAGCTCCAGATTAACATTTCATTTCGCAGGGTGTGTGGTGGTGGTGGTGGTGGGGGGGGGGGGTGTTACATGTGTTTACATGGACATCTGTAGTCAAATTCCTTTCCAAATTATTAATTTGTGGACTTTAACTGCAGTTTGGCACTTTCACTTTCATTCAGGAACATTTCATGCATGCCCCCAGTGCCGAATGAGATATTGGATGCAAGGAAGTGCTGGAAGTGTAGTCTTAATGGAATGTTTGATACCACATGGTGAATGAGGGGAAAAAAATGCATTTATCTGTAACCTTAATGCACTTGGTAGGTACCGTCAGAAAGCAGTGTATGTATAGACTATCCTTTCATAAAATGCTGTGAAAATCCTACACGTAGTTTTGATTGCGGTCTCTACACGTTTACATTCAGAGAGCAGAATTTACAGCTGATCTTTCAGCCTATAAAAGTGTAATGATATTAACATACGGTAAACTTAGTAACTAAATCATTTTGACTAAGGTCCTCCTTAAAACACTGAAAGAAAACTAAGACCACTGACCGATCACTTACCAAATCTGTAGAGACAGGACAATCAACCAATTTTCACCTTTTTTGTGAAATATATATCCAAATAGTGTTTATAGCAGCATGGAACACATATATGACTGTCAACAGCTCAAATAGTGTTTTGTGACACTTTAATGAAGAATCAGGAATAAACACCAACCGATTTGTTGTTCAGTATCTTCAGGTTTAATTCTGCAGGGTTCTGGATCACTCATGTTCTCGCTGTCCTTCAGTAAACTCTTCACTTGATCCTGATGGGAATATTCCTGCATTTATAACAGAAACTCTTGCATTAAATATTCAGCATATAATTAACAATCATAACTGTTACTTAAACATCATTAATTGTATTAAAAACATACAAACAACAACAACACTGATAAAAAGTCTTATAAAGTCTTTCAGTCTGATCAATGATAAATGTTTATAAAATGTGTTTTCTGGAGGAATTTTACAATATTTACCTCAAAATATTCCCTGGATTAAAACACTCTCTAATATCATTTTAAAAATACATCCTATTAAAATATGTTTTACCATCAAAATAATAATAAACAGTCAATATTCAATATAATCAGCATTAAGCTACCTCTTATGAATGAATTAGATGGAGACACAAATGAAAGGTGTCCAGATAACCCGTGAGTAAGACATTACAAGAGTGTTTACAGCGTAGCATCGAGCTAAAAACAAGAGAGTATATTAGCATTGAGCACACATGTTAAAGCGGTTCAAACCGCAAGATAATTCCCGCAAGTCTGCGAACGCTACTATAGTCAGATATCATACACTTACTCTGAACAGACGAACAACACCCGTAACAGAAGAGGAATTAAACCAATTAATCCTCAAACAGCAAAGTTCTGCTCTCTCCGATCTCTGCCTCAGAATAAGCGCTGTGGGCGGGATATTTGCCTGCACCCTGATAAGCGAAAGCTGATTGGCTGCCTGTAGCTAGTTCTGAGAAAGATGATTGGCTGCCTGTAGGTTCAGAAGAAAGCGGGTATTCAGTCAGGAGAAATAGTAAGTGGTTTGTTTTTGGAGTGCACCTATTATGAAGTGTTTTGGGTTGACTTTATATTTTCTTTAAAATATTTAAACTGCGTTAAGCGTTTTAGAATGTAGAAACTTAATTTAGCTTAGCATAAGCTTAATTTTAACTTGTTTTCATGTAACAGAGTCAGGGCTAATGTTATATTTCAGTCAGGATAGCGTGAAATTTGCATCTTAACACCCTTATCTTGGTTTTGTGTGATAAATTCAGAAAATATGAACTGATAAAGAAGGTAAGAAACATAAATAAGGAACGAAACATATACCCATGACAAGTGTTTTGTTGACCGTGGTAATGCCCTGTTAAAGGTAAAATTGGCCTGTGATAACTGTTATATATATATATATATTTGTTATTTTTTCATTATTATTTGATATTTTATCATTAGTCGGTGAGTCGCTGATCTATCATGATAAACATGCGTTAGCAGCGACAGTATTTATGTTCAGTTCCGTTTTTAGTGCTCTACCGTAATACTTAGTGTATGAGCGATGCCGAAATACCTTGCTGGCTTAAATGACTGTTCTTTTTGACAATAAACAAATATCTTTACAATTGAAAACAATTAAAATATTTAAATATTGCAAAAATTATTATTTTCTACATAAATATAAAAACCACTGCCTCCATACCTTCATCATCTCGGGGGACTTTTTCCAGTTTATTCAAGACAACTTGCTTTTGTATAATATTATTATTAGCATTAGTATTATTTATTATATGCATATTTATATTTGTTTTATTAAAAACAAGCTTAGATTTGTCCACCTGTCAGGTTTTGGACCATATGGGGCATATTACTCAGTTTTTGACCATACTTTGTTAAGGCCGATTTATACTTTGTCGCAAAGCCCTCGCCGTGGCCGTTGCTGATGCGCACCTCTTAAAAATGTAACTACATGTCGAAACGATGCGTAGTGCAAGCTCTGAAATTGGTCGGCTTGGAACAGTTGACGGGTGTGGGCAGAGGTGAGAGCCACACGAGCCAAATGCAGTGAGTGTTTACAATGTGGAGTCCCGTGAAGGAGCTCCAGATGGAGACTGCTCTTTTGTGTTTACCTTATGGTTGAAGTTGTTGCACGTCCGCCGGGTCCTGCCTCAAAATAAATGAGTTTGAGCCACTTGTACATTAAGGTAGCGTAAAAAAAAAAAAACACCAGCGAAGAAACTCGACACAGAGAAATATGAACACCTACTGCCAGCTAGCGTTTCTGAAGTTTTATTGCAGAGCAACACAAACAGTTCACTGAAGTATAAATGCACAGCCACGTACACTGCATGGGCTGTGGGTCACGCCAATCACTTGACGCAGAAGTGTAAACCAGGCTTTATTATTGTTCATTTATTTGTTTTCTGGAAAATAAAACGGAAATTAGAAATAGTTTTGAAATAAATCTTAGCACCTATCAAGCTAAATATGTAGGCTAATAGATGTCTTCAGTGTAGTGCGTTTCTTATCCCGAAAGAGACAGAGAAAGTGAAAGTAAAGAAGCCGAATGGAGGAGGTTAGTTCTTTATCCTCGCGCTGCAGATGCTCTGTTTAACTGTTTTCTCGCTAGTGAAGCATTCAGTTTTTCCAATTTTAAAGTCCGCCATGTAACTAGCAACTGCGCCATGGCTTGATGCAACCAAAGAGCTTAAAATGACTAAGAGGCGACATTCAATAGAACGTTCCATTGCAACAGCAGCGCCCAGCAACAGCCCCGGATTCCACCATTTTGGAGTAAAGGCGGTCGGCTGTCCATTGGATTTTATTGCTGTCGCAATGGCAAGCAGCTGCTTTGTTTTTATTTATTTATTTATTTAAAAAGCACATTAAAGCCGAGATACAACCTGAAAAACGACAATACAACACTTACTATCACAATCATGAGAAATTATAATAGTTTATTTTACAGACTTATAATATGCTGCTGTTCTATTGGAATGTGGCTGTTTCCCCAAATTGCACTAGAGTGTCGCCTATTTTATGTTCAATTTTGAAATAAAAAAATCGAGTTTTTGCCATATCATCCAGCCCTACTCTTCATGTGTATATGATGGTGCATTGATCGTCTAAATCTCTTCCCACACTGAGAACATGTGAATGGTCTCTCCAGTGTAGGCATGGACTGGTATAAGATTCTGACGGTATGCTAACCTTGGATAAAAATATCACGGTTTGATGGTATTGTGATTACTGCTCTAATAAATGCTCTTTTTAAATGTCTGGGTAAAAAACTAAAACTTTTCCACCTTTGAACAATATATTTTGAGAAACATTTAAAATATTGTGGAGCATTAAACATGTCAGGCTGAATAATTCAAATGAATCATTGACTTCTGCTGTCTTCATTAGTCTTCATTATTTTCAATTTAAAAAGACAATTTAGATATATTTTGTGCTGGAGATACTGTTGTACTAAACACAAAACGTAAATAAAATTAAATTAAATAAAAAATTTGACATATTCACCTTATTCTCCACATACGAGAGGGCACAGCCATTTGAATTATTTTGGCTCGAGACTTGCGATCTTATTCACTTCCATTCATTTGTATATGTTAATAACAGCTCGCTCTGCTGCTTGATGTTGCAAACGTGATATTTTTTCTTATTATATTATTCTATTTTCCCTGTATAGTCATGCATAGTATAGTCATATAGTATAGTCATTGTTTTTAGAGCAAGTAGTTTGACCTCTTTCTAATATTTAATATTTCTAGTCATTTCTCCCATAGGCAGCTGAATCAGAGATTATAAAACAATTGCAAAAGCGAGCACACTTCCGCATTGAAGAATAAGATCAACACCATAGGAATGTTATAGCAGAAAATTGTGGTGGTTTTAAAACCTTGACTTTTCCAAACTGCGGTATACCTTGAAAACGGTTATCGTCCTATGCCTTCTCCAGTGTGGATCCTCATGTGTAGATTAATCGATGGTAAATGGCTGAAACTTTTTCCACACTGAGTGCATGAGTATGGTTTCTCTCCAGTGTGGATCCTCATGTGTAGATTAATCGATGATGAATGGTTGAAACTCCTTCCACACTGAGGGCATGTGTACGGTTTCTCTCCAGTGTGGATCCTTAGGTGTTGCTTAAGGTTGGATGGTTGGCTGAAACTCTTCCCACACTGAGTGCACGCGTATGGTTTCTCTCCAGTGTGGACATTACTGTGTAGTTTAAGGTGTGAAGACTGGCTGAAGGTTTTCCCACACTGAGTGCATGTGTATGGTTTCTCTCCAGTGTGGATAATCACATGTTGATTAAGTTGTGCTAACTGGCTGAAGCTCTTCCCACACTGAGAACATATGAATGGTTTCTCTCCAGTGTGGACCTTCATGTGTTGATGAAGGTTTGACGAGATGCTGAAGCTCTTCCCACACTGAGAACATGTGAATGGTTTCTCTCCAGTGTGAATCCTCATGTGTCTATAAAGGTTTGATGAGACGCTGAAACTCTTCCCACACTGAGTGCATGTGTATGGTTTCACTCCAGTGTGGACCTTCATGTGTTTATTAAGACTTGTTGAAAAAACGAAACTCTTCCCACACTGAGTGCAAGTGAACGGTTTCTCTCCAGTGTGAATTTCCTTGTGTTTATTAAGTCTTGATATTTGTCTGAAACCCTTCCCACACTGAGTGCAGGTGAATGGTTTTTCTCCAGTGTGGATCTTCATGTGTAGTTTAAGGTTTGAAGACCGGCTGAAATTCGTCCCACACTCAGTGCATGTGAACGGTTTCTCTCCGGTGTGGATCCTCCTGTGTTGATTAAATTGTGATGACTGGCTGAAACTCTTTCCACACTGAGTGCATGTGAATGGTTTCTCTCCAGTGTGGATTTTCTTGTGTTTATTAAGGGTCGATATATGTCTGAAACTCTTCCCACACTGAGTGCAGCTGAATGGTTTCTTGTCTCTCGTTTTCAAAATACCGCAATTCTGTAAATTAGTTTTTTCCTCAATTTTGATATGATGTTCCTCCTCTTTACTCGCCACATTCTCTTCAATTAGGTCTGAAATAAAAAAAAAAACAGGTTTTTATTAAGTCTATAAACTCTCGTCAAAAGGTACTAAAAACATCACTAAAATAAGCTGCAATTTTAATCCTATTTAGTTACAGTGCAAAAAAAAAAGCTTCTACCTTTTATATGGAGTATAGTGTGTGTGTGTAAGAGAGAGAGACAGTGTAAGACAGACATTTGAACACTTACCTTGATATGTTTGAAAAATAAAGAATCCACCTCAGCTCTCATTGTATTTCTTAGAGGTGTGAACCTATACTGGTCTCACCGTTGGGTTACGATTATCATGTCATCGATTCGGTTCAATTCGATATCTCGGTGCATTGACGATGCTTTCCATATACAGTGTTATATTTTAGGGGGGAGGCTATAACATGCTGTCTGTATAAACACACAGACACACAGCACCACACTGTCTCTCATTCAAACACATTCAAAAACATAGACAGCATCAAACATACAAACAAACACACACGCACACGCACACACACACTTAAGCCCTTGCAACAGGGAGAGCTCGCGCTGAGCGGAGGAGAAAAACGAAAAAAAAAAAAAAATAAAAAATAAGCACTTTTCCGACGGTCCCTTACTGAGAGCTCCTCTCAGCGCGAGCTCTGCCGGCTAAAGTAAACGCAGACTGCGAGGGCTTAAACGGAGCAGTGCTCGTAATGTCGAGCGAAAAAAAAGAAAGACAGCTGTGAAACATAACCAGCTTTGTCTTTCTGTAGGAAACACTTTAGATCTTTTTAGGGTAAGAGGTTTTTGAGTTATTGCCGTCTGTAACTGAATGTGTGTCAGGAAAATCGAAAACAAAACCAACTGAACCGCGCTCCTTTCTGGCGCCCCCCTGGATGTACAGCGCCCTTAGCATTTGCCTATGGTGCCTATGCCATGGGCCGGCCCTGAGTTGGCTGAGTGTTGTAAATACTCGCGCTCACCTCCCTCGCGACAGAGCACATAGGAGATTAATGACGTCAATACATAATAACCGATTATGATTATTACGGAATCGATACCGAATTGTCTGTGTCTGCATCGCGGTGCACCGAAGAAACAATTTATTTTGACATCCCTAGTATTTCTGCAAGTACGCTATAATTTGTAGGATACACCATAGAACTCTATATAACAGCCCAAAATTCACAGGCCTATCTAAAGGGTTAATGTAGCCAACTGATGATCAACAGTAATAATAACAAATTGTACCACTTCACAACTGGGAAAAACCCCCAAGAATCACAAGTGCATCATGGCTTTGAAATTAAAAATATGTGATTATAACAGTCAATGGGCCAGAAACAGTCACAAACTTATTGAAAGAGTAGTCAATTTGAACAATACACAAGGATTCACTGAGCCTTTTTGAAAACAAATGTTTTCTAGTTAAGTAATCTGCATGGAATTATTTAAAGGAAAACAAAACACAGGAGCACATAGCCCTATGTGAAGTTTTCCCACTGTTAAAACAACTGGTTTAATCACACCTGAGTACAATTTCTCTATAGCCACACCCAGACCTGATTACTGTCACATCTGTTAGAAATTACCTAAATAGGACCTGCCTGACAAAGTGAAGTAGACCAAAAGAGCCTCAACAGCTAGACAACATGTAGAGATTCAAAGAAATTTGAACACAAATCAGAAAGAAAATACTTCTGGTCTGGAAAAGGTTATAAAAACATTTCTAAAGCTTTATGACTGCAGTGAACCCCTGCAAAAGTCATTATCTAGTCAATCTTCCTAGGAGTGAGCGGGTGGCCAAAATTACCCCAAGAGCATCGACAACTCATCCAAGAGGTCACAAAAGACCCATAACAACACCTAAAGACGTGCAGACCTCACTTTCCCCAGTTAAGGTGAGTGTTCATGACTCCACCATAAGAAAAAACTGGGCAGAAATGTAGCAGAGCTCCAATAAGAAAACCACTGCAGAGCTGAAAGAACATGAAAGCTTTGGTTTGCCAGAAAACATCTTGATAATTTTTCCAAGACTTCTGACAAAGGTTAAACTTTTTTTTTTTGCAAGGCGTGTGTGCCGTTATGTATGGCATAAAAGTTGCACTGAAGTTCAGAAAATAAATATCAAAGCAACAGTAAAATGTGGCGGTGGTAGTGTGATGGGCATATCACAATGAAATTATGATATCCCACACAAAATATCCTAAAGGAGAGCGTCTGGCCATCTGTTACTGACCTCAAGCTGAAGCCAACTTGGGTTCTGCAGCAGGACAATGATCCAAAGCACACCAGCAAGTGCACTTCTGAATGGCTGAAGAAAAACTAATTAAACAGTTTCGAGTGGCCTAGTCAAAGTCCTGACTTGAATCCCATTGAGATGCTGTGGCATGACCCTAAAAAGCCGGTTCATGCTCGAAAAATGAGGTGAAATTAAACAATTCTGCAAAGATGAGTGGCCCAAAAATCCTAAAAAGCGTTGTTACATACGAAAACACTTGATTGCTGTTGTTGTGGCTAATGAAGAGTTCAGATGGCATGATTTTAGCCCTGATTTTGACTCGCCGACAGGTTTTGAGAAATTGTAGACATATGCCTGAAATCACAGGCAAATCGGTGCTCATTCACGCGAGTAACAATCACACAGTGTGAACTATCAAAAACATGATCTAAGAGAAGAGCAGATGAGTCGCCCATGAGATATTTGGCGTGCTTAATTATCTGGAGCTTTTGCCGGTTCAAATCATGCCGTCTGAAATGTGTTCTGATTGAAAATAACATCTTGATTACCTACAGCCAATGAGAGGGCAGCATCCACGAGTTTGGGTATCTGCAGCGGGAGGTTGGGGGAGAAGTTAAAAGGGCTTCTTTTCAAGGAATTTGGACCCAAGAAATGGAGGAAAAACTAGTGTAAATTTGGCAATATCACAACTAGGTTGAAAAAGAAAAAGTCGAAAAATTGCTAATTCCCTTTAAAGGCAGGTGAGCAAAATATTTTCTAGCACACTAAAGGCTTCTTTCTCATGATGTAGTTAATAATAAAAGATATACTACATGACCTTAAGTTGTTTCCATGTCACTTCTCGCGTGTGTTTGGTTGTGAGACGTAGTTTGTGGACTGAGACAAAGGCAATTCTTCTTATTCTCAAGTCATGCAGTGTGAAACCCCTTGTCGCCGATCCATCTTGCAGTGTAAACAAATCAGCGATGAACGCTACAGCAGCTAGTCATGCAGTGAGAAAACATCTGTGACACGTCTATTCTAAAAACCCTGCAGTCAGAACTCAGCATTAGCTGACCAATCAGAGCTCACTGAAGGCGGATCTTCAGAGGAACCAGGAAATATGGTATTTGTTTTTACGCTAGCTGAGTAGCAGTGTAAAATTCAGGTAAGATATGTGAAAAAATAAGGTGATATTTTACAAATGAAGCAAGAGCACACACTGTTTTGCACCGGTTGTTGCTAGATTGGATATGGATGCAGCTGGAAGATAACGAGTTTAACGGTTTACATTATTTATTTATTTCCAAATTAGCAACATATGGCTATTTCGTGGCAAAATGGACACACATTAAATATTACATGATAAAAACAAATCCATATTTCAATAAAAAAGTTACTTAGACATATATATATAAATTATAAATAGATAAAATTATCCACACAAAAAATATCCAAAAGTTAAATATGATATTCCAGTTTAACTTTTGATAAATAATTTAAGATTCTTCCTGGTGGTACCTTTTTAAAAATGTCCAAAGTACTCTCCTTAAAGAAAATGTTTTTAATTGGTATTAAAACTTCCACATTCCAACTAAATATGTTTGATAGTAAGAGCAGCCTGATAATAATTTAAGTGGTGCTTCGTTATGCAGTAAATATAAATGTGTCAACCTAGACTGTCCAGTTCCAGATCTAGTATAGACAGTTTGATCATGCCTGGTCACAAAATTATAACTTGCTAAGTGTCTTTCATTTATTTTCGAGTCATTCATTCATTTTTTTGTTGACTTAATACCTTTATTAATCCGGGGTTGCCACAGCAGCATGAACCACCAACTTATCCAGCACGTTTTTATGCAGCAGATGCCCTTCCAGCCGCAAACCATCTCTGGGAAACATCCACACACACACTCATTCACACTCATACACTATGGACAATTTAGCCTATCCAATTCACCTGTACCGAATGTCTTTGGACTGTGGGGTAAACCGGAGCACCCGGAGGAAACCCATGCGAACTCAGGGAGAACATGCAAACTCCACACAGAAACGCCAACTGAGCCAGCTGAGGCTCGAACCAGTGACCTTCTTGCTGTGAGGTGACAGCACTACCTACTGCGCCGCCTATTGTAGCACAGTTTGTGCCTAATACAATGTTATTAGACTTTAGCCCTAATATAGTGAAATAATTAATAATAATATTAATGTATTAATAATAATATCAAATGTTTAACAAATCTCCTTTTACTGAACATTTGTTCAATTAAAAGACAACTGAGCTTCAGTCCCTATTTGTTACCTTGTGAATAGAAAGTGTATTTACTTTTTTCTGTCTTTACATAAAATAATTTGTTTTTATTGTGCTTGTTCAATGAATCAGATAAAGCTTTTCGTCATTATTGTTCTTCAGGCTTATTAATGAAGAAATAAAGGAATAAACACCAACCTATTTGTTGTTCAGTATCTTCAGGTTTAATTCTGCAGGTTTCTGGATCACTCATGTTCTCGCTGTCCTTCAGTAAACTCTTCACTTGATCCTGATGGGAATATTCCTGTGTTTATAACAGAAATTCTTGCATTAAATATTCAGTACATAATTAACAATCATAACTGTTTCTTAAACATCAATAATTGTATTAAAAACATACAAACAACAACACTGATAAAAAGTCTTTCAGTCTGATCAATGATATTGTAAAATTCTTCCAGA